CACGTTTTACACGATACATATATTATGAGGACATGAATTTTTACAACAATATCCAAGCAAAAAGAATCACGTAATATATAATGAACAGTTTACGTACTACCATTTCAAAAAAGAAAAAAAGTGTGAGCTTAACACTTGCTATTAGCATGGCTGATGTAAAGCAAATTTTGGGTGATCTAAACAAGGATTCATTCGTAACTCTTTTGAAGAAACTGATCGGCGAAGCAAAATATGTTCAGAACAACCCACCGGATCTTATCCCGGAGGAAGACAGGATTGTGAACCATGTTCTTGAAATCCTTAATCCATATAGCACCAAAAATGGCGGAGCATTGATCATCAATCATGTTTCTTATACTCCTAATAGGGGTAACCTTATTGTGGAGTATCCTGGTACGGACCCAAAAAAAGTTGTGTCTTTTGTTGGAATGCATATGGATGTTGTGCCTGCAAATCCTGATCAATGGGTAATTTAAGTAAAATTGAAACAGTTAATAATTTTTGTATCGCGGTCATTTTTAATATATATTTTTGTGTGTATAATATTCAGGAGTTTGATCCGTTTTCATTGAGTGTGGATGGTGATAAACTTAGGGGACGTGGAACTACGGATTGTTTAGGTCATGTGGCGCTTGTTACTGAGCTTATGAAGAAATTAGCAGAGACGAAGCCAAAATTAAAATCATCGGTGATTGCTATTTTCATAGCGAGTGAAGAGAATGCATCTATCCAGGGGATTGGTGTGGATGCATTAGATAAGGATGGTTGGTTTGATAAATTAAAGGAAGGTCCTCTGTAAGTAACTCTATATATGCTATCGTATATATAAAATTTCGTTGATATATATTTTAAGTGTTTATTTGTGTATATAGATTTTGGATTGACACAGCTGATAAACAACCATGTATTGGTACTGGTGGTGTTATACCATGGGAACTTGTGGTAACTGGAAAGGGTTTCCACAGTGGTTTGCCCAACAAGGTACTCTTTTAAACTAAATACCACATCTTGTTATTATTGCACGAGCAAATCTCAAAAGATCATAAGTAATAAGACAAATAAGATATATTATAAGAGATACAAATGTTTGATGTGATACGGTCACTTGATAAGAGGAGATGAACAATCCACTTTATTAAAAAAAGTCCAAATGATAAAAAGGAATAAGCTCACACAATTCGCTCGAAGTACAAAGAGATTCACTCCCACAAATTCTCCCCTACAAAAAATTCTTTAGACCCTAAGACTAGGAGTGGACTTTTGATTCTTCGGTTCAATTTTATAAAATTTTGATTTTAGAAAAGTGGGCATCGTATACCAAATCAAACTAATTTGATTTGGTGTTCTTAAATTAATTATTCGGTGTGGATAAAAAATTAAATGAGGACAAAATCAAAGTATAAGATACTTAAAAATTTAAAAGTATGTTAAGAAATATTGTGCCTCGCCATGAATATATACATATACATATATATACATACATATATATAGCATTCTCTTAAGTAAAAATAAGAAGTATGAGGATTTTTTCTAGTAATTAGTATGAAATTTTGCAGGAAACTTATTTTCGTGCCAATTTTCATACTACTCCCCATGAAAATCTCGATATAATTCACAGTTTTTTTGTAGTGATATAACATATTTTTATCAATATACATTACGTAAAGGAATCCGTCTTCGTTCTTGTATTTCTCGAGAAATAATTGGAGGCACAATATTCTTGAAAAAAACAAAATATAGCCTTTTAGTTAGCACAATACCAATACGTTTCATATGTTAAGACTTAAATTTTCATTGGTTAGGCTATCAATGCTTTGGAACTTGGTATGGAAGCACTCAAAGAAATTCAAACCCGCTTCTATAGAGATTTCCCTCCCCATCCAAAAGAAGTGATCTACAAATTTGAAGCACCATCCACCATGAAACCAACTCAATGGTTTTGTAAGTTGTCAAAAATCTTTAAACATATATGTTCTCCAATTATTTTTTTTATGAAGTACATTATTTGGTCGTGTAGATCCTGGGGGTGGAAACAATCAAATTCCTGGTGAGTGCACTATTGCTGGAGATGTTAGGTAAGTTTCTTCTTCAAATTAAAACCTTTTTGTTCATCTTTCATCAAATAATAATACTATCTAATTACATTTTTTTATTTTTTTGTAGGTTGACTCCATTTTACAAGTATGTATTATTCCTTTATAAAAAACAAGATTTAAAATTAATGAACTGTTGATATTATATTTCAAAAACAATGCATCCTTTTTTCAGTGTATCCGATGTTATAAAGAAACTACAAGAATATGTTGATGACTTGAATGCTAATATCGAAAAACTTGATACTCGAGGGCCTGTTTCAAAATATGTTCTCCCTGATGAAAACATAAGGGGAAGTATGAGTATAAGTTTCGAGGAACCTTATTCTGGCGTTGCTTGCGATCTCGATTCGTTAGGGTATAAAGTATTAGCCAAAGCTACTGAAGAGGTTGTTGGATATGTAGAACCATATTCTATAACTGGTAGTTTGCCATTGATAAGAGATCTTCAGGTTTGTAACTTTATTTCATATCTTCTTGTTTGGTTTTTTTTTAGAAAGTTGAACTTATTGTAATAACATGAACTTATTTTATTATGTGTTTACAGGATAGGGGTTATGATGTTCAAACTACTGGTTACGGTAAAAAAAAAATCGTTTTCATTATTTCATTTTATCTAAAACAATCTTAGTTTAAGCACTGGTTCGAATTTATCAACAAAAAATTCGTTTTCATTATTTCATTGTTTTTTTTTAATAATGAAATGCAGGAATTATGGATACATACCATGCAGACAATGAATATTGTCTACTGGTTGACATGTCTCAAGGTTATCAGGTCTTTGCAAGCATCATTGCACAGTTGGAAGATTTATATATATGAGGTTTGTTTACATTATAATTCTATGATTGGTCTATAGAATAACGTTTATGATGTAATACATGAAAAGTAGAAAAACTACTTTTTGAATAAAACATTAGAAAAGCTACTCCCCGTCTCACTTTATGTGACACCATTTCCTTTTTTGTCAGTCTCACATTTTTTATATGGTAAATATTTGAAGATATAAAATTCTTCTTTTGTCCTTATTGGTCTCACTTAATTTTAAAGATAGTATTTTAATACATTTATGAGGAGAGAGAAAAGTGAGTTTATATTTTTGAAGGACAATTTAGTAAATATTTCAAAATCTTCATTATTTCTTATATTTTGATACCTGTTCAAATGTTGCCACATAAAATGGGACAAAAGGAGTATAAATTATTTGTTGTATCTTGGGAGTAGTATAACTTTTCTCTAACGATGTTAACAAGTATATGACTGACCAATTTTCTTATTTGTTAGCATAATATCGAAATGTTGAGTTCTACGTCTCTTCATATTCTACTTAATAAATTGATTTGAAGACAATGCTAGATATAAAAGAGATATGATGTATATAGGTGATACTTGCATGAGCTGGTGTTACATCAATCTATATAAATTTACCATAGGGACTAATGAGGTAATAATGTATATGTTAATTAATTATCTATGATTAAGGATGAAAAATATAGCACTTAAAGAAATTTTAAGACTAGATCATATCGTAACTAATAGATCAAGAGGAATTTAGAAATTCAAGCTAAGTAAAAAAAATAGAATTTAGGACGCAATCTAAAGACTATGGAAGAAATTTTAGAATTTATGGCCGCAATCTACAAAATTAGATATTGCGATAAAACCCATCTTAAGCAAAAATTGGTTACTCACCTCCAAGTTCGATTTGAACAAGTGTATTTTTTCAGCGGAAGTTCATCAATGGGTATCCTTTCACTCGTTGAGTTTCAAGAAAATCTTATATTTACAAATAATTACTATTATGAATTTCGAAGTAACTCAGTTCCTCTTCGTTATCGATTCATAAGCATATGTTTTTCATGAATTTCAATATGTTTGCTTAAGTAAACATACATGAGCCCTCAAAACAAGTAAATTTTATGCCTTTTGGACTTGTATATATTGCATGTTTTAGTCAAGATATAAAGGGTTTTCATGATTACTTTATTCTTTGTTATTCGGTTCATATGCATAAAATGTTTGAGATAAAGTGTATTAATTGGTATCAATTTTTCAGTAATCATGAGTTATTCAGTATTATTATATTTTCAGTATAAATTTAATTGGGAGTATTATGTAGCACTAAGTGGATCTTTAGCAATTAAGTCATTATATAAAGTCATTCACCAAAATAATATGTTTTTCTAAAATTTTACAGAACTAGTATAAACGTATTCCACAGTAACGTTTTAGGATATATTTTATTTTTTAAAAGTTGATGGCGTCAGATTGATATACATTACTCATAGTAACGTTTTACTCCTAAAACGTTACTATGAGTAAAGTTTTAGGAGTAAAACGTTACTGAAAATAACGTTTTAGGAGTAAAACGTTACTTACAATAACGTATATCAACCTAATGCTGTTATTTTTTTAAAAAAAATATACCCTAAAACGTTACCGTGAAATACGTTTATATTAGTTTTGTAAAATTTTAGAAAAATGTATTACTTTGGTAAATTGTTTTATATAATGGCTTAGTTTGGTTAAAAATTCGCAATTTTAAGTCCCAAAATTACGTGTCATCATAGATTATGTAGTCTATGTTGGCGTATATTATCAATTTAGTGGTACAATATTAGATCAGATCAGTCTATATACCCTGATACGATATATTAATCCCTTTTTATAGAAATTAAGCATCAAATTCCTTATCTAGCTCACATGGTTATATGTCAATTTTAATATTTAGCACAATTCAATTTTCTCAGATATTGCATGACTATGTATTTAGTTATTTCAATCGAGTACTTATCCATGGTATATTGTTTTATAACTTAGTCATTGCATTAGCTCATGCATATAAGTTCAGTCTTTCATATTTATCTTGTTAAATTTATTAGACTTGTGATACGTGTCCCCCATATTCAGTACATTTAAATTACTAACTGCAAATTATTTGTGCTATTTTATTTTATATAGGTTCAAACGTTCAGCATCCATCTCAATGTTCGTATGATCTCTGGCCAGCTTAATAGCATGGTGAGTCTTCATCTTTCGAGGACAACCTATATCTTTTTATTTCAGTTGTTTATGTCTACAGTTTGATATCTAGAGTTAGCTGAGGGCTTGTCCTAGCAACTCATCTTAATAAAGGTTTGTATCATCTAAAGTTAGCTGAGGGTTTGTCCCAACAGCTCATTTTAATAAAGGTTTTCATACATCTAGAGTTAGCTGAGGGCTTGTCCCAGCAACTCATCTTAATAAAGGTTTTCAAGACATCTAGAGTTAGCTGAGGGCTTGTCCTAGCAACTCATTTTAATAAAGCCTTTCAGACAGACAGTCATGCATTATTATCAGCTTTATGTTATTTCCAGATGAACTCGCTTTTTGTGTATTAAGTTTTATATTTTAGACTTATTTATCTCAGTTGAACTTCGACATAATTATCTTCCATTATTATTTATTTAAATAACAATGTCATGTCAGATCATGGATTAGATTACAGTCACTTATAACTTTATGCATCGTATTATGAATGCGAGATAATTTTTAATCATGGCAATAAATGTGTATGCAAATGCATGTATGCATTTATGACTTGGTGTAAATATTCAATGCGCAAAAGCTTCTAGTATCTATTTAATTTACCGCGTTGTCACCTGTAAGTTTTGAAAGTACCTTCGTGTTGTTTAATTCAAGAAAGAAAATTTCACAACTAATTGAACTAGAGAATGTATGTAGAGTTGAAAGGTACTAAAGTTTAATTTCTTTGATCATAAAGTTATTATCTAATTATTGCTCGAATTTTGGTGAAGTTAATTTTTGGAGGTAAATTATATTATAGTAATAACATTCCCCTCTCTGGGCCACATTTCTAAACCATAATAAGAGTGAGTATTGTATAAGGGCTCATCCTGAATTCAAAAAAATGGGCTTTTGGCAATTTCAACTCATAAAAAAACATGCTTCAAATTAAAGAAATAATTGAAAATCACATCGTTTGGCAATATCTTGACATTTATTATGTCGTCAAAATATTTTTTCAGAAATCTGTTCTTTGTTTTCTTAGGAATAACAAAATCTTCCGAATTGAAATTACTTCGGTTGGATTTATTTTAATTTGCACTTATCAAATTTTTTTGAGATAGATCGAATGGAAAAATGATCAAAATTATCTTTAACGTATTGAAAACGGTTTAAAAACAATCTTACTCAACCTTTTGAATAAAAAATGTCCAGTCTCTATTATTTATTTATTTTTAAAAAAAAGGATCAAATATGCCCTCTAATCTATCAATTTGAATTAAAAAAAAACTTAAGGTCCCCTCTTTTCAATAGAAGTTAATGGGGCATGAATAATAGTATGACTATTTTAATTGAATATGTGGCATTATTTTTATTTGTTCACGTATAATTTGATTCAATTTCATTTACAATCATATTTATTAACTCATTTTTTTTTATAGAAGACCCGACACTTCATCTTCTTCTCCAAAATTTAAAAGTCATCCTAAAATATTCTGTTTATATTAATTAATCTCCGTGGATCAATTTAGTGTACTTAATTAAGTCAATATTATATTTGTATACTTTGTCATACATGACCGCACCTTCTAAAATAAAAAATATAAGAAACTAATGTTGATGTTTATTGGCAATAACTTATGTTCTAGCAACTACATACTCTTGTTCAATATTATACGTCACCATTTCGTGCAATATTATTATTTGGCAACAACGATAAAACGGATTGCCTTAGAGTTTGGAGTCACATTTAATAAAATTTAATAACTTTAATATTATTTTTGTGTTTAAACTTTATATATATATATAAAAAAATTATGACAAATTTAATTCATTTCTTTTTTTAAAATTTAAAATCAATAAGCTTAAAATTTTAACTAGTTGATGATTGCTTTACGCCGAAGAAATCTCATGTGTTACTGACTTTATGTTATGATAAAATAAAAGGATATTGGGAACAGTAAAAAACAGAATTATTTTTCTGTTATGTCAAATAATTTAAAGAAAGCTTTTATTAAGGGAAATGAACAATAAAATTTAATTAAGATAATCGAATTCTTATTTTTATTTAGAAACGTTTTACCTCTTTATCTAATAATGCATCCTGAAGTTGAATACATCATATGCTAATAATATAAAATAACGCCCTAAACATTATTTTTTAGTTATTTTAGTTATCGTATTTACTGTTTCTTTCGTGCTTTTATTAGTCCACAATTAAAAGGAAATTTTCATTTTTTAATTTTTTACTTTAGCATATAATGAGAAAGATAAAACAAAAATTTATATTTTATCCATTTCATTAACTACTGATTTCTCAATTCAACATTTTTTAATTTTTCTTAAATAGTCATAAATATTATAGTAACATATCTACTTCATTTCTTGTTTTCTTTTAGGGAAATGCGAGTGGACTAGTAACGAACAAAGTTTGATTTTGAAAAAGCATCATTATTATGGATTGTTATTATTTTTATAGAAATTGAAATATACTTTAATTAATTATTATTTTTTACTTTTATTCTTGATGGATAGAAAAACAAATTAATATAGTAAAAAAGAGAATAGTTGTTCAATTATATTTGAAAAATAATAAAAACAATTATATTAAATTACTTTTTTATTAACATTTTTGTGAAACATCAAAAATAAAATATGACGATAAAATGAATATTCGTTCGTCACTTTTCTACACAGTCAAAGAAAAAGGGATGGACAAGAACCAATTCGAAGCCAAAAAAATAAAAAAAATATTAATATATAAATACAGAAAAAGAACAAACAAAACATTGGACAATTATACTTTTAATGGATGAAGATAATGTATTTTTTCTCCAGTCTTTCTTAAAATTTACGGCCAAAGTTAATCACCATGGGGAAACGATTCCAAAGGCCTGGTTTTTTTATTTGCTTATTATAAATTAATTAATCAATTAATTAATTAGCTTCTGGATGAAGGGAAAAGTTTAATACTTTTATGCTGTTTTTTATTTATTTATTATTTGGAATTTATTGTGCAATTTTAGTACTGGATAATTAAGCTAGAGGTGGTTTGCCTAGCTGGAGCATCCAAGGAGTGACGTGGACTCCAGCCCTTTTCTAGTCGAACTCAAAAATATAATCGACTTTACAACATTAGTGAAATATATCTCTAAATTCTCGTCTAGTTTAAGAGTGTTTTCAACAGTTTTCTTGGATTTTATGAAGACTTCATGCTCCTACATCTTGTTACGTCATGTGATATATTACGGTATATATATAAAACTATTAATTTGCATTAAATTTAGCGTATTTTTCAAAACTTCTCTCAATATTTAATGAATATCACTCACGATGCACAACAAAAAATATATAAGTTAATAACAGATTTATTTTATAGTTAAATAATAAAATTCATTATTAATCTTATTTAACGACAGATTATCAAATTCTCTAGTAACCATGAAGAATTTGAAGATGAAGTTCACAGATGATTTTAATTTTTGTCTCTTTTAGAGCGCTAATTATAAAACTAATTATACAGATTAAGAAAAAAAGGGAAATAATTAAATCCAAGCCAACTAGGGTATGTCAAGGATTTGGCGAGGATGATCTCTTTTTATTTATTTTTATATATTTAACAGAAAGTAGCATAGTGAATGAGTTTGGCAGACTCTATATGTAGGTGATTACATGATAAAAGAAAACATACAAAATTTACTTTGCGACAGTTTCAAGATTAAAATTTTATAGATTTAAATTTTGAGATTTTTAATATTAAATTTATTAAAATTTAAAATTATAGATTCACGTTGAAATGTAATATAATTTATATATAAATTTATACTTTATGTTAACACTTATTTTTTATCAAAATATAAAGAGTCAAACACCAATTTTTTAAAAAAGGGTTATATTTAATATAAACAAAAAATAAATAAATTGTGTAAATTACTTTAATGATAAAAATTATGAATTTATGGTATTTATTTTAAATCTTCAACTTCCTAACTTATTTACTAAAAAATCTCATCCCATTTATTTTTATTTTTTTTCTTTTTCTTGTCTCTCTCTTTGTAAGTTCATTTCACTCTTTTTCTTTTTATTTTCTATTATTATTATTTATTTATTTTATATCCATCCTTATCTCAACAATATTTTGCATTATTATTAGTGTCTGTTATTCTTTTTTAGATGCAATTTATATTAGAATTTATTTTCTGATATTTAATAGCTAATGTTTTTCTGGAGCCTAATTTTTCACTAAAAAATAAATAAAATAAAATTTATAAACTTGTTAGATTATGATATATAAATAATTAGTAAATTATTTTTTTTAATCTAAGTAGAATTGTAATTTCATCTAGAAATTCATGATAAAATAATGATAATTACTATTAATAATTATAATTTTTTTGAGAAATTGTATAAAGAGACAAAAGAATACAAAATAAAAACTAAAAACAAGAAAGCCTAAAACATAAAGAAAACAACAAAAAAAAATAACAGATATTTTTTTTAAAAAAAAAGGGAAACAGAATCAAAAATAACCAAAAAAGAAAAGAAAAGAAACGTGAAAAAATGAAAAAAAAAGGAAGAGAGAGAGAAATAGAATTACAGAAAACAAAACAAAACAAAAAGCAAATATATAAAAATCTAAAAAAAATAATTTTTAAAATTAAAAAAAAAGAAGAAGAAGAAGAAGAAAGAAGCAGAATGAAAAAGAAATATAAAACAAGAAATTAAAAAAAATGATGAATGAAAAAAAAAAGAACGTTAAAAAAAGAGTAACAAAAATTATTTTAAAAAAAAGAGGAGAAGAAGACAAAATCTTTAAAATAATAATAAAAATAAAAATAAAATTATGATAAAATTAAAATTAAAAAAAAATAAGAGAAACAAATTTTACAGAAAACAAAAAAAATTATAAAATTTCAAATCAAACAAAATGTGTAGAGAAAAAAAATAGAAAAAAAACGTAAAAAATAAATTTAAAAAAAACAGAAAAAAACGTAAAAAAAAAAAGAGTCAGAATGTTAAAATTGTTACGTGCATTAAAAAAAAGAAGAAGTTAAAACCTTTCTTAAAAAATAAACATAGTCCTAATCTATTTAGAATCTTTGTGATTTTAAAACTAATTTCAAATCTCATAAAATTTCATCTTTCTATTTTTAAATCAAAAAATAAATAAATAAAAAATCCTAAATTAACTCGAACTCTAAATTTTTTTTCTAACTATAAAATACCTATATAAATTCATCCCCATAATAACATAAAAAATATATGTAAAAAATGTAAAAGCAAAATAAATAAATAAATAAATAAATAAATAATAAATATGAATGTTTCA